TGGGAGAATTGCCTGAACCCAGGAGGCGGAGGTTGCGGTGAGCCGAGATCGCGCCATTGCACTCCAGCCTGGGTAACAAGAGCGAAACTCCGTCTCAAAAAAAAGAAAAGAACTGGCTCCTGGGCCATGGAGGTGGGAGACCCTCCACAACTGGCAAAGGGCCCACAAGATAAAAGGAACATTGTGGTTTCAAGCTGGCAGAGTTTTCCTGACTTACCCCCACTCTGTTCATGAGACACCAGAGTGTAAAGTCAGATACCTTCCAGAATTCAGACAATAAAGTGTTCTGAGTGAACGCAGGGGGCAAAAGTTATTGATGCCACAGTCACTGGCTTATGTGTGCTATCCTGAATTCACGCAACATCACCAGATGTCAAAAACTTAGGAGAAATCTCAGCTTTCTCCTTTCTAGAGACAGCCTCTTTGTTGATTCCCTTTCAGCTCCCTTAAACCTGCCAAATAGCAGACCCAGAGGGTCTGCCACACCAGGTGCCTGCAGGACCACTGTCACACCACGTGAAAGCACCCACCAGAGGACACTCGGTCTCCAACCAGCTTTCCCTCCTTACAATTGTGCCTCCTGTCTAAAAATGGTTTGCCTTAATGATAAAATACATGAAAAAGGTGGATATGATTCGGTAGATGGGAAATCAAATTGATTAAGGAGCACGTTTGGAAGTGACAGAGGCTCGACTTTGGTAGAAAATGTCTCCAGATATGACCAAATAGTTTTTTTCCTTCAGTTCAAAGCCTTGGGCAAGCAATCAAAAACGACCCACTGATGCTTAAACTAGTCCCACATCCTCTCAAACCTGAAAATGGGGCTGGACCTTCTAACTGTGGCTCCACCTAAAACAAAGCAATGAATACCAAATTATACCCACTGGTATATTTGGAAAGCATTAGAAAGCCAGATAACACTAAGTGTTGGATATGATGTGAGAATCTGAGAACCCTCGGGCTCTGCAGATGGAAACCTACACTGGAGCCTACTCAAGGCAATCAAGAATGAGCACCCCCTAGACCCAGAAACCCCACTCCTAGGTGTACACCCTAGATGCTCTCACACTGGTACTCAGAAAAACACATCCAAGAGTGCAGCCAGGAGCTGAGCATATACACAGGGAGAGAAATCATAACCACATGCTTCCGGATTGTAAAAGAATTCAAACTATGCAGACACATACAACCAATAATAAAAAAAAAAACGATGATCATCCACAGGCACATGCACACATAAATTTATCTGCACATTCATATATACATGTTTATAATGTATTTAAATGAGCTGATACTATGCATGTCACTCTGTGACCTGTTTCGCACTCAAAAATATGTTGCAAGTATTATCTCAATGATATCATTTTTAACAGCTGCGCAGCATTCTGCCATAAAGATTATCATACTTTAATTAACCGATGCCCAACTGTTGGATACTTGGGTTATTCAAACCTTTTCCCTGTCAAACAGAACCTCTCTGAATATCATTGTACTTGCCTCTTGGCTTCTCTTCTAATCCTTAACATTAGAAGCAAAGAATGTATGGTGCAGTGGAAAATGTACATACTTTAAGAATGGAATTGCTTGATGAATAGAATACATCTTTTTCATTAAAATACATATTTTTTGCCTCTAATTTCCTTGGATCCAAATTCTTTCTGTTGTCTGATAAGGTGAATCCTTCAGAGAAAACAGACAATAGGCTAGTAGTAAGTATGACTGCATTATTGACTGCCATTTCGTATGCAATCATACTTACTACTCTATCCACATTGTACAAATTCCTACCTCACAGGTATCCAGCATCAGTCATGCAGCCAGCCTAGCACATTTTGAGAGACATCAGCAGCGTAAAATCCTTGAGTTCAACATTCTTTTGCTAAAAATATCTTTATTAAATGCCAGCTTGTATCTGGAACCACACTAGGTATTAGGGAAACACAGAAGATTAATGCCTAGTCCTGCTCAGAAGAAGTTCAGCAACACTTGACTCTGAAGAGGAAATTCAGAAATCGAGTGTGCTTTGGAAGCACAGAAGGGCCCTGGCTGGAGAAACTTCTCAGAGGAGGCAATGGCAATGAGGTCAAACAGCACTGAGCTGACCTTGCAGTCTTAGTGGCAGAGGGGACTCCAGGCAGAGGGTTAGATTGGAACAAGGTGCTCAGGCCATGCAGTGCCTCTGGAGAACCCCTGGAATTCCAGCAAAGCAGGAGGTGCACTGAGCAGAGCCAACATGGGGGCTCAAGAGGGAGACAGCACCCTGGTCTGAAGAGTCAGCCTTGCCCACACATTAAGGAGTGTGTATAGGGGGAGAATTGGCTAAGAGGGGTAAAAGGAGGCTAAAACCAGCGTTCCTGCAGAAGAGGGAGGATGGACTAGAGAGGGAAAGGCTGGAGGCAGGAAACCCAGCTTAAGAGCTATTATTGCTATTCAGAAGAGACAGGGAGAAACAGAGCAGGTGGTGAAGCTTCACTGGGGAAGGTGGTGTGGGCAGAAGTAAGATAGTCTCCCTGGACGCAGGTGGTGGAATTTCCAGGATATGGTGCCTGCATGCTAGAGTAAGAGGACCCCAGCCCGCACAGCAGGCATTTGGTGAGCCGATGAACCAAGGCTACAGGGGAGCATGGGAGAAGGGAAAGGCCTCAGTGCAGACAACCGAATAGCACAGACGGGGTGCTGGCCCTGCCTTGGCCACACAGACTTGCAGTGTTCTAGAATCTAGCAATGACTTATTCCACTCTGGGATGCAACTTTCACATCCGCAAAGAGGCACATGGGGACTGTGAACCATCAGGGCCCTTAGGAGCTGTAAAATGTTACAATGTTCCCTCTGTATCAGAATCCGGAGTGGCAGCTGTCCACCTGAAAACTCTAACAAGACTGCCGTACTGGGAAGAGTGCAGATTGTGTCCATAACCGGCGTCTCCTATGAAGTCGCAAACTTCTTTCAACACACCGCACCCAAGCCACTAAAGACCCATCTCTTCAGGCCAGAGTGCTGGCTTACCCACTCAAACACAAGGCTCACACCCGCCACATCTGGGTGCATGCTGCCTTCCTTCCTCCCTTACTCCTGGGTAATAAACAGCAGACTAGCAAAATAGTTCAAATACCTTCTAAAAACATACACAGCCTTGTGGAGTCCATGGCCTATTTTGAAATAAATGTTTCAAATCTCCAGACTCAGAGCTGCTCTCGGCATTAACCTTCACTCCAACTCAAGCAATCAGGAAGTCAGCAAATGACAATGGCACCTCTGCTGAATGGCAGGCCCACATCAGGTATGGAGACACGAAAACGAACCGGATTTCCCAACCTTGAGGGCTCTCTGCTGAGTGCAGACGCTGGGCACTCAATGCAGCAAGCCAGCATGGCATTGTCCTCATTCAAATGTCCAGAAAAACTGTATAAAGGAAGGAGGATGGGAGCTGGGCCTTGGTGGCTGCATGCAGTTGTAGAATACAGGAGCAAGAACTAGGCTAGAAGAGGGAAACCACAGAGCCTAAGAAAAGGAGCAAGTGACAAGGGATGAGGCTCAGAAGTGCTGGTTGATGACTGCATTGTGGATTGGGGCCAGCTTGCCAGGGCCCCGAATGCCATACCCAGGTATTGCCGTGGCCACAGGGATCTGCTAGCTAGAGTTTGTAAACAGAGAATTGAGGGCAGTGGGAAGAATGGGAAAAGATGGAAGCATTTCAACCCAGAGAACATCAAGGAAACCAGCAGAGTGAGGAACGATGTGGCCTGAGACAAGGTGGGGAATGGTGGGGTGAGGGTGGGACCATACTTCCCCTTTCTCCATTTTCTCAGACCGCTGGCATCTAACCCTACAGACATAGAAGGAAGCATCTGGACCCAAAGTCCCACAGAACTGACAGCCAAGCTCGACAGATAGATGGCTCCCAACTTTGCCTTTTTCTGGTCTGGTTTCTGCTCCTGCACTGAAAATGCTACCCAGGAAGGCCAACCCCAAAGCCCAACCTTCCACAGCTGATCAAACACCAAAGCACAGTGTGTAGGCTTGGAAGCAGAGGGAGGGAGCAGTGAACAGCCGACACACACACACCCTGATTTCCAGGCGGGTGGGCCTCAGTAACAGGACAGGTTTGGTTCATTTCCTGCAAAAACAGAATTTCCCAGGCGTGAAAGGAAATGTCCCCGCATCCCTCGTAGCCCTGTCCACCAGGATGGACGGGGCTCAAAGACCTGGGACATCCTTCCTGATTTACCAGACACTTTATCCCTAATGAGCAATCCAAAAGCCTCTCAGAGATCCCTCATGCCCCTGTGAATGTTCATCCGTGCAACTTTGGCAGGAACCTAGGAAAGCCATCTTCGTCCCCCACTAATAGAAAGTGAGGGAGGCCACCAAGGGTCACCAAGCATCCTGAAGCCCAGCTCCAATCCCTGGTGCAAAGCAGGCCTCTAGCGTAATCCCGGAGGCATTCTCCCACCCTAGCGCTAGAAACTGCTTCAGCAGCAGAAAGAAGAAAAGAAGAGGAGGAGAAGGAGGAATAAGAAGGAGGAGGAGGAGGAGGAAGAAAGGAAAGGAAGAAAAGGAAGGAAGGAGAAAGAAAGAAAGAAAAAGAAAAAAGAAAAAGTTGGCGGGGGGGGGGGGCGGGGGTGAGAGAGCTCCAGATGGTAGAGGGGAGAAGAAGTAGCGAGATTGAAGTTTAGGCCTGGGTTCAAGTCCTATCTCCACCACCGGGTTTACTTGGATGTGCCATTTTGCCTCTCTGAATTTGGGAAGTGGTTATAAAATGTGAAATGACTATAAAAATAAATTCTGGGAAACGCTGTCAGAATTCAGAGCGCTATTGTTAGAGTTTAGCATTAGCAGAAAGTCAACAAATAGAACCAAATAGTTATGATATATATATCGTTAAAGAGAGGAAAGAAAACTCCTAAAACATGTACCAGGAAAATCCAGACGAGCGCACCCCGGCCCCCCAACCCACAGTCCCGGGCAGGGCAGGAGGCGCGCGGCTGGCCCAGGTCACCTGTGCGTGCAGGTGGGGCGGGCGCACGGTGCAGCAGGTTGGCGATGGCGCCCTGTGGGCCGGCGGGGATAGGAACAGGGCGGAAGGGCCCACCTGAAGACGCGCAGCAGCAGGCAGGCGATGAGGAGGGTGGTGAAGGCGAATGCCACGATCACGGCCGCCTTGAGGGTGGGTAGGTCGCGAAGGAACGTGGAAATGCGGGTCACCAAGGCGTTGCTGCTGCTGTTGGAGCTGCCGCCGCCGCCGCCCGCCGCCCCAGACCCGGTCCGGGTGGCGTTCCCGGGGCCCGGGCCGGGCGGCGGCCGCGACTCGCGCTCGGGTTTGGGCTGCGGCGCGGACACGGACTCAGCTCTGCTGGCGCGGGCGGCGGGAGCGACCAGGAGCGCGAGCAGCAGCAGCGGCAGGAGCGGCGCGGGCGGCGGCAGCGCGCGCATCGTGCGGTGGGGACGGCGCAGGGCCTGGCAGGGCGCGCGCGGCTGAATCCCGGGATCCGTACCAGCGCCGAGGCCTGCAGCGGGGGATCCTGCGGCGCAGGCGGCTGCGCGGTGCTTGGCAGGAAGCTGCGGCGCCCGGAAGAGCCCGCGCCACCGCCGCCGCCACCACCAACACGTTGCAAGGAGTCATTCGACGGGCTGCGGCCCCACGTGGGCAGGGCAGGCCGCCCGGCCCGGGTCCCAGCTGCACTCCGCCGGCCCGCGACCCCAGTTCCTCAGGACTTGAGACCCCGTGGAGAAGTACTAACTGCCACGGTCACGCTGGTGCAGGCGCTGTGATGCACATTTCACGTGTTTTACTTATTTCGTTTAATTCTACAACCCCCTTTGAAGACAGGTATTCTATGATCCTCACTGGATAGTTGATTTAGCACCCAAAGAGCAACCCAGATTGTGCTCACAGCAACCCAGGTTGTGTCAGACTAAGAATCAAAGGCTGTGGGACCTGGAAGTAGACTCCCATTTTGCACATCAGACACTGAAGTCACCAGTGGAGTGTTGCCCGATGTCCTACGCAAGGCATAATTTCAGTATCTCCCCTAATTTCCCTCTTTCTCAAAAGGAGTTTCTTATTTCATGCGCCTCTGCTTATGAACCCGATTGGGATGTGAATCTCTGCATTCGTACCTTCGCTGTGGGACACCAGTTGGTGTGGTTAGTACCGCCCTGCCTGGCTGAGGTTTCTTCAGTTGGTAATTGGCTTGCTGCCTCTGGTTTATAAGCCAAATGATGCTTAGGTGGGGAAAGACAATTAAGGAAGTTCTAGCAGGAGGCCCAAAGGGCCTAAGTAAAACACGTGAAATGTGCAGCACAGCCCCTGCACCAGCGTGACCATGGCAGCTAGTACTTCCTTAATGGGGGGGGGTGGCGCAGAGCCCCTTCCCGAAGCACTAGAAACCATTCCCAGGAATTCAGGCTTCCCCGTTTGTCAGTGGTGGGTAAACAGCTAAACACGCATGATAAGGACCCAGGGACCTTAAACGGTCCACTTCTGGTCCTGCTGGAGAAAGAGACAAATATAGTACAGTGTATTCATTGTCTATTGCAGCATAACAAATTGCCCTATTAACCTAGCAGCTTAAAACAACATGCATTTACTGTCTCACAGTCTGTGGGTCAGGAAGCTGACCATATGTTACCTGGGTCCTCTGCTTCAGGGCCTCTCCCAAAGGTGCAATCAAGGTGTCATCTGGGGCTGGGGTCTCCTCTGAAGGCTCAGCTAGGGAAGGATCTGCGTCCAAGCTCAATCAGCATTTTTTGGCCAGATTCAGCCCTGCTCTGGCTGTTTGACTGGAGCCTCAGTTCCCCTGGGGCAGTTGGCCACAGGCTGCCCTCGGTTCCAAGGCCCTTACAACACAGCAACTTGCTTCATCAAAGTATGCAAGTCAAGACAGCAATAGAAAGAGTCACCTAGGAAGACGGAAGTCACTGCCTTAAGAAACCTCATCACAAAAGTCACATTCTCACACCTTTGTCATAATCTATTGGTTAGAAGCAAGTCACAGGTTTCATCCACACTCAAGAAGAAGGAATTACACAATGGTACATCAGGAAGCAGGGATCACCGGGGCCATCCCGGAGGCTGCCTGCCACATACAGTGCAATACATTTTGATTTTGGGGGATGGACAAAAATCAGATTATTAGAAGTCATCATCCAGGAGGTATTATTTGAAATGCATGTTAAATATGCAAGATGCCCCATTGATAAGAGATATGGATTGATCAGATGATTTAAGTCCCTTCTAACTCTGAAATACTACCTTCTAGTACGTTAGTAGAGAGTCAGCATCATCATATCAGTACGATAGAATATACAAAAGAAAATTTTTAAAGAACCACCTCTGATTCCATGATTTTGGAGCACTGTTCTCTAAGGCATAAACCTCATTCATCACAGCCTCTTGTTTTTGTACTTATCAGAAATTCCTGCACGATACAGCAAAGAGGTCCTGGGTTTTGAGCCTCTTAAGCCAGAATAAAAGGTTGACCACTTAATGGCCTTGGCCAAGCATTTCAGCACTGAATACCAGGTTTTCAATATCTGAAATAGAGACAATAGTACCTAGCTCAAGGCCACTGGGACCATTTATAGAAGAGAGAAAACATTAGTGCCGCTTTCCCTGTTTTGCCACAATTCATGGACTGATGGTCTACGTCAGTCAATAAACAATGCTTGATTGTTTAATGTTAACATCAGGAATGTAGAGAGCATAAATGTTAAATTTTTTTCTTAAAATGAAACTTTAGACTCTTTCCTTCTAATTATTTGCTTACTTAAAAATTGCCCTTAATTAGAGTTCCTTAAAAACATTTAAAAACCATAAACAATGATTCGAATAACCATAAACAATGACATTTTTGACATGGTAAACAGGCAACAAAACCAACTCTGGCTGACTTCAGAGAAGGGGAGTTTATTGGAAGCATGTCATGTTGCTTCCAGAATCGACTGTAAGCAGAAGCGGAAGTTCTAACAGTGGGATCTGTGAACTCCCGGGGTCTCTGAGACTCTTTCAGGGAATCTTCGAAGTGAAAACTAATTCCATACTGATAATAAGATGTTATGTGTCTTTTTCACTATGTTGACATTTGCACTAATAGTGCAAAAGCAACACTGAGGAAATCTGATGTGCCTTAGCACAAACTGAGGTAAATAATATTCATAGTAATTGTATTCTTCACAACTATACACTATAGGAGAAAAAAAAAAAGAATCAGTTTCACTTGAGAATGCCTTGAGGTCACCATGAAATCATTAAATCTTAGCCCTTGAGAACATTTTAATATTATGTATGATGAAATGGGAAACAGGAATAAATCACCTCTGCTGAACACTTACGCATAATGACTGACTCAAGAAAAAGCATGTTTACAATTCCTAGAGTTGCAAACTGAACTGGCCACTTTTTTCATGGATCACCATTTTTAATCAAGAGAGTGGCTGACAAACCTCACACTTGGTCTTTGGCGGGCATTTTCTCAAAAATAACCAAAATGAGGCTGTCACTTCAAGGACAGCAACTGACAGTATTGTAACCAATGATAAAATACAAGCCTTCAGGTGAAAATTAGAATTTTTAAGAAAACTTGTCAGTTAGGATGTTTTTTGCTGTGAGCTTGACAGCTTCCCAGTGCTTCAAAATGCTTCTGATGATCTTGGTGGTGATATTAAAAAGTATGGGTTTTTCATATTAGGTAATGAAATTTATCAAAATTTGAAAGATCTGCATAAATTTTTCCAAATGTCCAATGCACAGTGTTACAAAATCATGGCTGAGTAAATGATCCCACTCAAAGTGTAAGACCAATGGATTCTGAGGAAACAGAATATAAAATATTCATTGCTAGAGTTTCATATTTCACATTGCAAGTAATCTTTAAGAAACTACTACTTGCAAATTTTGGTATACTATCAAAGGAGAAGTCCACAGCTACCTGAAAAGGTTGCTAACATTTTCCTGCATTTTCTAGGTGAGACTGGGTTTTCTTCATGTTCTTCAAGCAAAACAACAAATTGCAACAGATTGAATGCAAAAGCAGATATGAGAATCCATCTATTTTCTACTAAGCCAGATATTAGAGATTTGAAAAAAAATGTTAAAGAAAGGCATGCTTCTCGCTAATATTTTTGTTTTAGAAAATTAGTTCTTTTTCATAAAACTATCTTTCATTTTCTTGGTAGAGACAGGGTCTTGCTATGTTGCCCAGGCTGGCCTTGGACTTCTGGCCTCTCAAAAAAAAAAAAAAAAATTGCTGACTTCAGAGAAACAGGCTTGGGGGAACGAAACCAAACTAAACAAGCAAATCAATTAGGATACTTTCTGCTGTAAGAAACAGAAAACTCACTTGAACTGACTTAAATGAAAAAGAAAATTTCACCCCAATTACCCTGATGTGATTATTAAACGTGATCAGAACATCACACGTACCTCATGAATATATACGTGAATATGATACACCCATAATATTTTTTAAATTGTTTAAATAAAATGTTTTTTAAAATCACATTGTACAAAAAAATTATAAAGATGATGTCTCTTCTTGCATGTAAAGGAAGCACCTGGGAGGGGAGGTGTCAGGATTGGTTGACTCAGCATGATGTCAAAGGTCCTGGATCTTTCTATCGCTCCACTGCTGCCCACAGGATCACAAGGATGGTCACAGGATCCACAAGGATGGCTGCAGTGGCAATCAGGGTGGCAGGCTTTCTTGCTCACGTGTAGCAGGTAAGAGAGGAAAATATTTTTTCCAACTGTGGAACATAAATCCTCCTCTCAGTCTGATTGGTCCATCGTGAGTTAGAGCCTGCCAGGGGATGATCAAGCCCTGATTGGACGAGACCTGCCTTGGAACTAGGGTTAGGGCACCCCGCATGAAAATTAAAGAAAAAGAAAAGGTTGTGTTAGGAATGAGGAAGGGGAAGCCATGGCTACTGAAGAGGCTGCAACGCCCATTCCAACAGGCAAGAAACAGGGAGCCGAGTCTGTCTGGATTCGAAGAACCAAAGCCAAAATCAGACCTGCAGAATCTGGCTAGGAAACAGCACTGTCCAGCAGATGTCTCTCAGGCTCTGCCATCACCACTGCTTCCTAAGCCACTGGACAGTAGATACCTCTGCTGTGACCATGGCTCGAAGAGTGACTTTTTTTTTGAGACAGGGTCTCATTCACTCTGTTATCCAGGCTGGAGTGCAGTGGCGTGATCTCGAATCTCAGCTCACTGCAACCTCTGCCTCCCACGTTCCAGCCATACTCCCATCTCAGATCACCTTCCTGAGTAGCTGGAACTACAGACACGCACCATCAGTCCTGGATAATTTTTGTGTTTTTCAGTAGAAAGGGGGTTTCACCATGTTGGCCAGGCTGGTCTCAAACTCCTGACCTCAAGTGATCCACCTGCCTGGGCTTCCCAAAGTGCTGGGATTACAGGGACGAGCCACTGCGCCCAGCCAAAGTAAGTAGATATTGATGAGAGAGATAGATAGAGGTTAGA